ATTATTGCGGACAATAAGGTCACCATTTAATCACAATTGTTTATGAATCAAAATAATTTTATTGCATTTCCAAGTGATTATCTCGCAAAATACAAACATTGTTTTATATAAATCAGCACTATTTCAAATACAAACTAGTTTATTTTAAAAACTTAATTAATAATAAAAATTAGTTATTTTTTGGTTTGAAAACAACTCAAATGAATTTTGTTTTAATCTTAAATTCAATTAATTATATCAAATTCAGTGAACAATTACTTCATATGCTTTGAGAACAAAAATAATTTCACAATAATTTCACATTTTTGTTAAGTAGAGACTTATTTTTGCCAACAAAACAACTGATCGCAAATACATTAGATTTTTAGGTTTGATTTTCATTATAAACTCATTTAAATCAAATTTAGGATTAAATTAGTTAATAGACATAAAACTAATATTGATTTCCATTCAACCAAAACGTACGACAAGAGGGATAGGGAGGCAGAGGGAAGGGCTGTGGAGAGGGAGTCATAATGAAAGTGACTAAATACACGTTAAAACACAAGTGGGTGAATGAGTTATTTGTACTGCAAAATGAATTTATGAGTTAAATTTGATGACAATGTCGTCCAATTTGGGTATCGAGCGGTCAAAGTGTTGCAACGGGTGGCCGGAGTTGTCGGCCGTGCCATCGGTGCCCACGACCGACGACAGGTACGAGTGGTGCTGCTCTTTCATATGGTGTGTCGCTTGCGCTGTGAATACAGTGAAACAAATTGTTTCAATCAATTGGCAATTAAACACAACACCCGACACACAAACCGTGTGACCAAACAGTTTTCAATTCATACCTATTGACCGGCAATAGAAGTACTGGTCTTCTGTGAGGGAACAGACGAGACACTGGTATTGTGTCTCGTATTTCAAATGCTTTTCGATGTGCGACTCCTGGGACTGAGGCGGCGATCGGAACGGCTGATCGGCGGCCGCGTCGACGGCCGGCGGTTCGCGTTTCAATTGTCGCAACTTTTGACAGACAACGCATCCGCGATTGGCGTCGTCTTCGATGTCAAACGCGGACACAATCCCGTCGGACAACTGATACTCCAAGAAGTTGTTGATCCATACAATGGTGTCGTTGTAATGACGCGACCACTCGATGTTTGCCGAAGACTTTGGGTGCGGACACGAGCCGCGACCGCCGCTGCCGTGTTTCAGGTACTGGTCGTATGTGGCGAAGAGTTTGCAGCACTTGACACACTTGAGTGGACACATGTGTATGACATAGTGGGCGGTGGCGTCCTGTCTGTCCGCAAACGATTGGTCGCAAAACAAACAAAACATAGACTTCTGTGCGGGAGATATACAGAGTGTGAGTGATTGACAGTATAGTGAGAGAAAGGTTGAAAATGCAATGATTGGCTCAATTTTTATTACAATTAATATTAATTATAATGTGTTTGTAATTTTATAATTAAATGTTTTCTATAAGTAGTAACACAACACGTCTTGATTATATTAATTATGAATTTTAACCATTAATGATTTACTAATAGACTATTATTTATAGTAATAGCAATAATTTAGTAATAATAATAATAATTAGAAATTTAAAAACGAGATAATAATTAGAGATTAAGATAAATGATTGCGATTTGGATTCATAAACAATTGTGATTAAATGGTGACCTTATTGTCCGCAATAATATCACATGAGTTGCTGCACTCGGGCTCATAGTTGCCGCCATTGGTCGTCGACTCAACCGAGTCAACCAATTCAACCGAATTGTCGTCCTGTCGTTGTCGAGGAATTGATCCCAAAAAACAGACAAATTTGCGTTAATTGTTACCACAAAACACATGACTTTTTACTCACATCTTCGACAATAATGAGTTCGTTGGGCGACAAGTCGTCCATAAGTACAGAGTCGTCGGGTTTGTCGACGACGACAACGGGTTTGTTGTCCACACCGTTGGACAGCGATTCTTGAGATGATTTTCTTTGAGGCTTTAATACGCGAGCAAACAATTGGACACAAGAGTCGACACATCAGTAATTAAATCAAATGAAACAAAATAAGACAAAACACAATACCGTTAACGGTTGGGATGAGGACAGAA